ATCACTACATGATTTCTCCATAATGAAGCCTGTCAAAGTTGTGTACCTGCATGCTTTTGATCGTGCATGAAGTGACCTCTTTGAAGTGTGCCAGAGCCGAGGAAGTGTAGATCAGAGCGCTCACACTAGTCAAATGAACTGGACTTTAGGGGTGAAGCGTGCTTAGGCATGGTACAGATTGACCAGTGTGAGTGAGCCTTCAGTCTTCAGTCTGATAACTAAAGGCTCTACCTATCATAGCACATTTAGAGAATGTAGGTACCATGAACGGTCTAGAGGGGTAATATTACGCTCTAGATGGTAAGATGGTGCTTGACCATTAAGAACCTACAATAAGGCACCTAGTTTCATGGAGTCTGGTTCTGTTGGAACAGTTGTGTTAGGACCTTGTCTTACCACACGTTTAAGTCTTAAGAGACAGTCTGGTTTAAGTCAGTTAAACCAGTATTGCTGTAAGTCTTAACCACAGCAAAGTGTGAAGGTGAATAACATGCTTTGTCGCTTTGTGCCTGAAGTTTTGCCTGTGGCCTAATTTGGCCTCTGTGTTTGAGGTGGTGAAGTTTGCCAACAGGTGTCCTACAGTTAAGTTTTCAGTTTGTAAGCCATATCCATTCCTCTGAAGAAGCACAGCATTAAACCCAATGAAGTATGTACATGTGCATAAGGCCCTGATCACACCGCCAGCAAAACCATTATTTTCAGATGGTATAGAGCGCCTGGCGTGCACTCTTTTCTTGTGCCGCGCGTCGTGTTTTTCTAGTGGTTTTTAGACGTGCTTTAAAGTTTAAATATTCTCAACTTCTCAGCGCAAGGCACAGAGTCGCACCGCTCGTCAATGTTACAGGTGGCACAGGCAGCCAATCAAATCAGTCAAGAGGCAGGCCTTACTACTTTACCGCTTTCTCTCCCACGAAGAAGAAGAATGAGTAGCGTGTAGACTCTCTAAAGAGATGGTGGTCTTCACCATACTGTTTCCTTTTGTTCAGTATGTCATGAACCCAAAATCTCTGCTTAGATTTTGTTTCCCCCTCCTCATCCAATAGGACAGCTACGGCAAGAGCTCAGAGTCTGTTTAAATCCTCTGTTACCAAATAACATTTAATCGCCCAGTTGGGCACGCAGCCCGGCTCCAGGCGCACCATGCTGTTTTGCCCGACACACTTTTGAGGCATTTTATGAGCGGCCGCGTCTCAGTGTGATCTAAGACACCAGGATTCTAAAAAGAGAATCGGCTATACAGTATGTGTCGGGCTGATCCTCATAAAGACAACTTACTGTTCCACCATTCAACTTTAGTGGAAGCTCTATACCGCATATCCTAACTATAGATATACAAGTTTGCAACATCTCAAGGATTTTGGGCTAATTCCACAAGGATTCATTTTTACATTTCTGCAAAAGCAAGCGTAGCTTTGCTGCTTTGGATAGTGATGCATTAAAGGATGTTTGAAGAAGAGCTTTGGATTAAAAATCTTGATCAGCAGTTATTTGTTAACAGAGTTCTGTGTTTCAGCAGAGCTTCCATAGTTGGCCATGACAGGTGAATGCCAAAGTCAAACATGTAAAACTGTTGTAAAAACAGTAAGTAAAAATGGATATCGTGAATAGATTGTGATGTAACAGCCTGCCGTGTTTAGTTGTACAGGGTTTTATCATCTCTTTCTTGTTTATGGGACTTTAAGCTTGCAATTACACCATTCAATAAGTTATCCTGGTAAGCATGTGGCCTAAATACCTACTGGACAAGACCTGACCTGCAAGCTTGCTGAAATATGTGTAATCATGCTGATTTTGAAAGACTTCAGGTGCAGATGTGTTCACGGCTCAGCACACAAAGCACATCTTTGCATAGTAGCAGAGACCATACTTTTTGTTTGTTTTATTTGGCCTGTACTCTTTTATTTCATGTTGTCACTCCTTCTTCTGCTTTCATCAAGCAAAATAATTGATATACATGTTCTTATTTTTGATTAAAGTAATGTATTCAAACTCAACATCAAATGAAATTAAAGCATTCTACTTGTTGATCTCACTATGGAAAAATGAGTCAGAAATGATATATTACCTAAAATACAACTCAACAGCTCAGTCTAAGATTCTGGTGTGTATTAGGTTCCTGCTAAAGAATCCTTCTTTCTAACTGAACAGGCCCAGATCTTTTTTCTGTCATTTTCAAACTTATTTCCGACTTCAAACAACACTGGCTCAACTGATACTTGTTGAGGTAACAACGATTTTTAGGAGTATTTTGAGGGTTTCTTCCCCACTTTTAGAAGATCCGGTCCGGTAACTGTGTTACATCTGTATAGGAAAGGAGCCGTCTTCTAATATTCTTAACTACAAATGACTCAGATGTTCTGTAAATGGATACAACATATTCAATCCTAGTCTTTACCAAAGCAATGATAGTAATCTTTTCTCATGTCAGTAAAAAGACAGATGAGTAAGGTTGAACTTAGAGAGTATAATGTCATCAGCGTTTATACTGAAGGAACAAAATAACATGGTGAGTTGTCTTACTAGAATTATCAAGTGCAACCAAGTTTCTAAGTGTCATGCTTCCTCAACTCTGTAAATACAAAATATATACGTGCGCTACCTAATTATTCTTCCCTGTATATTCTACACGTATCAGAAAGCCCATGTGGAATGGCTGTCTTAAAAGTGATTTGTATAAACTTCAAAAGTGTCACACAGCTGCATGATGAATGCAAGTGCCTCCATACTTATTTTCTCATCCAAAATGTAAAAGTGTACCTTAGATGGCTTGCTTCAGGGTGCACTCTTTCAGACGTCTTAATGGAATTCTCAGTGGAGTTCCTCCTTTTTTATGCACGCATCACTCAGCAGTTGCTTTGTGAACTGCCTGTCATGGCTAACTGTTGTGTTAAGCCATTTGACATTCTTTGTGTCCTAAAGTACCTTAAAAACTTGAACAGCTTTCAGCACAGCAGGGAATGGTCAATACCTTTTTCCTTCCTTTGACAACAGCGAGACAAAGGAGGCTGGAGTGAAAAGGTTAAATAACACAGCTGTAGATGTAGCTGTACATGTGCCCTAGTTCATATCCTTTCTTAACTGGGGACTGTTTTGATTACAAAATGTACTGCGAAAGGTTTGAAATGCGAAAGAGTCTCCAAGTTTCCTTCTCTTGTAACTGAAGAGGTTGGTCATGGTAGAATCTCATATTGGTCTAAGACAGCTTGCACAACCTTCCTCACACATGTCATTGAAGTTATTTTGCACAAAGTTCTGCAACTTAAATCTCAGAAGTCTGTTTCCCACCTGTAAGTAAATAAACAAAATACAAGGAACAAGAGCACTGCAAGATCTCCCATCTGATCCAGATTAAAAGCAAAGGAGGTAATCATAGCCATCCCCCTGGCTATGAATCAAAATGAACACTCTACAAACTCAGCTGGTACGAGTTAAAGTATTCTATCTGGATATTCTCTGTGGCTGGATGGTCTGAGTATCTACCCAAATTTGTTAAGTTAGAGCGAGCCCCACATACTACTCAACATGTTTATGTCTCTGCTGGTAAACACTAAGAATAGGGAAATAACACAGGGAATGAAAACCAGAAAGAAAAGAGGCCAAACTTACTATTTTCACAGCTGTATTTCCACTGATTTGAAAAATTATCTTAGATTAGACCACAGTTTGATGAGAAAATCTTTTATACTGATAAATTCACTGTGATGTGTTTGAAATCTTCAATGAATCCAGTGAATCCATTCTCTATAAAGCAAATAGACTGTCAGAAGTTTGCAGTGTTCCTTGCTTCATAATCACATGTCTACATGACTAGATTTCTGAGATGGAGTCTCTGGCCATTCCAGACATTTTGTAGTTTTCTCCTTGCAAGCTGACCTTACTCTGATAAAAGACAAAAAGGTGATAAAAGGTCTGAGTCTTGCAAAACTGAAGATACTAAGCACAGTATGCAGAGTAAGCAGCAACATTTCACTAAACTGAGTCATAACTTAATTGGGCCTTCAGCCCGCTCATTGAGGGCTACCTGTACCCAATATAAACGTTAGAATTAAAACGTATTGGGATCAGTAAATCTTTACATTGCTGGGAAATGTGGTTGCACCTGATGATAGTTTTCTCTACCATCAAATCTAAAGGCAATATTTAACTAAAATTGGTCATCACATTTTTAATCTTCCAACACCAACAAAACCAAAAATATTCCTACACACATCATCTAATTTGCATTAAGCGCTAATTTGCAATGGAGTGTTATTTGTAACCATGTTGCTCTGTTACAAAGAACTGCTGTGCTCAGGTTCAGCTTCACTGAGCAGAAACCACAGCTGTCGGTTCTTATGAAGCGTAAGAACACAGTCACTATTTACGTTTTTTGAATTAAACTACTAATCCTTCATGCACTTTTTATAGTTGTGGTAAGGTTTGGATTTTAATCATTTGGAATTGAGGGGCTAAATTAATAAGAAAAGGATAGGAATATAGGGACATAAGGGTAACAAAAAAGGAGCCATGAGGGGTAAAAGGAAAAGAAAGGAATCTGTCATTAAGGAAAGCCAAAGCTGTAATATCTTTAAACATGTAAGAAAGAATTGCCAATAGTCTGTTTTTGGGGCCTCTAAATAATTCAATGTTTCTGTTTTTTGTCTATGGGCTAACACAGACCTGAACATTACTTAAACTTTCTTTTGCCATAATCTATTGTTTTATGGCCACAGCAAAGCTAGTGCATGTACTATTTGCACTCTTTGCTGTGTTTCATTGTTATTCTTATGTAAAATCAGGACACTTTTCTGTGTGTTTCTGTGACAAATAAATTATCTTAATGGGATCAAGACATCTGAAAATAAAGATGTCTGGACTTGACGTCAGTGTCCTTGGGAGTATGGCAGTATTGTCAAGTTTAAAATCTGGCATTTACCTATTTACCTTTCCTTATTCCTTATTTCACTGACATCCACTTCTGTGACATGATGCTATCTTTCCCCTCTCTCTCTCTCTCTCAGGCAAATGATGTACTGACTGTCATTAAAACGAAGGCTCAGTGGCCAGCATGGCAACCCCTCAACCTGTAAGTATCACTCGTCAACTGTTTCACTAAAGGGGAAAGGCTTCTGGTGAAACATCTGACTGGAAATTAAACGGATAAACTTATGAAACTATGATTTTAAAATTATAAGTAGTTTTAACTGGTTATAGCAGGGTTAGGGTTCTCTTTTTTTTTCAAGATTTATTTTTGGGCTTTTTGTGCCTTTAATGGATAGATAGGACAGTGGATAGAGTTGGAAATCAGGGAGAGAGAGAGTGGGGAACGACATGCGGGAAAGAGGCCACAGGTGGGATGTGAACCCGGGCCGCCCGTCTGAGACGACAGCCTCCATACATGGGGCGTGCACCAACCACTGCGCCACCAGCGCCCCAGGGTTCTCTTTTGATACTGATCATTCTGTATGACCTACAAAAGGGGAGATTACTGTCAGCTAGGAGACCACTACATTTGTTGTTATTTATTAATTTGTTGTTAATGGTCAAGTACCCACTACATGGTAAATGTACTTGAGTTTATCAAATCGCTACTTGACTACTCAAAGTGCTTTTACACTGCATGTCACACCTACACATTCACACACTGATTGTAGAGATCATTATGTAGTATCATGCATCAGAAGTAACTGATCCCATTCATACACCACCACCAAATTACCCTCGACCTTCCGGTTGAGAGGCGACAACTCTACCAACTGAGCCACAGCCACCCACAATTCATATCCATTCAACTCCAACTTGGTGACCCCAAGTTGCTACCGCTGCCTCATTGGTGGCATTAAATGTGAAGGAATGGGATTTGTTACTTCTGATAGCAACATCAACCATCAGTGTGTGAATGGATATGAATTGTGGGCGGCTGTGGCTCAGTTGGTAGAGTTGTCGCCTCTCAAGTGTCTTGCACAAGGACACATCGGACATGTGGCTGCAGGAGCTGGAGATCACACCTCGACCCGACTCTCCGTTTGAGAGATGACCAACTCTACCAACTGAGCCGAAGCCGCCCACAACACATCAACATTTACACCTGTACAAATACACCTGTATTATTGTTACTGAAGCACCCTGTGGGTCAAATGGTATAAAATCTTTAAACACCTAATACACACTCTTACCACTACAGGAAAACATTTCCAGTGAAATCAGATACCCCGTTATTCTCAGGAATCTAACCACCTACCTAGAGATGAACTGAGTAGCGGTTTTACCCACTGAGCTACAGAGAAGGCAACTACATCACAGTTATTTTTATAGCTTCACTTTCTGGGTTAAACCTAACATGTTGGTGCACCAACTTACTGACTGGTGACCGAAAAGGTTTTCTGTCTTTCAGGCCATGATCAGTAACAAACTGTTCTTATATACATCAGATTCTATTGATCTCAGATACACACCAGGAGAGAGTTTCATGCCATGCAGACAGCGACACACTGACTCGACAGCCATACACAAGTTTGCTCTCTCCCTCCCGCTTCAGTTCTCTGATGCAGACACACACAATGTGTGGAAAATCAGTCTTACTACTCCCCTTATGCACTCTTTCTGTTTTGACCTGTCCTGTTAAATGTAAATTGTGTTGTTGTGTAAGAGTGTCGCTGATGTTTTAAGGTGATTTAATGAAACAAACTGATGAACTGAGTTACCAGACACACAGTAATGAAGACACAGACGCGGGGCAGTCTTACTGTGTGTGGGTGTGAGCAGAGCACTATGTCAGTTTATCTTACCTGGTGCAATTTGGAATATTTTTGTTCAAAGTTAATTAAGAGTCATTGTGTTATTATGAATGCAAAAATTGAATTTTCATCAGATGAAGGTTACAAAAAATAGTTCTTTTAAGATGAAAAAAGGAATCGGCCAATATCGAAAGGTCTACTAAAGTTAACACTATCTAAGGAACCTGTTTTTTGGCTGGACTGCAGCAAAGCTAGGCACAAACTGTGTAAACCCTATTGTAGAGTTTCAAATTCAATAGAACTTGAACTTGAACTTAAACTCTGTATACTATGAGAATAGGCAAGCCCTCTCTCGTTGGCACATCTCCCCCTAACACTCCGCTAACACTGAGGACTTTTACAACATAATCTTACCTTCACCTTATGTAAAGTTTACAGAGACTGAATTATAGCATCCTGAAAATGTCCTAATAACTTTTTTTTTTTTTGCTGTTGGCCTCATAACAAAAGTAAACGCGTGCTGTATTGCCATAAGGTTCATGGATGATCTGAACTCGATGCTAATACAAACAATGGAATGATCAGAAATAACTGTATTTTCATATGAATACAAATCCACAGTAAGTAATCCTGTTATCTACCAAAAAGTAATATATATGAATGAACGTATGGTGCACATTTCATAAAAAGGAGAAAGCTTTACCCTTGGGATTGGAAAAAGGGATCTTACATTGCAAACTCAGTCATTTACGCTTTAATTGCCAGAGCAGATTTTGAGGTCACAGCAATTGTTTTGCAAGTGCAAGGGAAATTAGAAAAAAAAAGTTGTTTAAAGAAATCTATATTTCACTTAATTGCCACTATGGATTTTTTTGCGATTCATTGCTATTCATTTTTATATTTGGAAAGACATAATATATAAAGGAAAATCTTAAACATGCTGTAAATTACTTTGTTGAGATTGGACCCACTAAACATGCATTACAAATCACTACATACAAATAGCCGATCATTTTAGATTATGATGGGATTTGTCATCTTATGAAATGTCTACATGGATTTGTTCCATTATTCTTTTTCTTTTTTTAGGAGAGCAGCTCCATCAGCAGAGTTTTCGGTGGACAAGACCCGTCATCTGATGTCGTTCCTCACCATGCTCGGGCCAAGCCCAGACTGGAATGTGGGGCTGTCAGGAGAGGACCTCTGTACCAAAGAGTGTGGCTGGGTCCAGAGGCTTGTGACAGACCTCATTCCCTGGGATGCAGGCACTGATAGCGGTGTCACATATGAGGTAATGTATCTGAAGTTTGATATTCTATGGTAGCACAGTCTTAAATAGAACTGGTTTTATAAAAAGACACATTTCTACTCCATCATATTGAACACTCTACAAAGGGCTGTGCCAGAGCTTTGAGACCATCAAATAAACAAAATCAACCAATGAAATCAATCCTTTATATAAATTAAGTTAATCAAATCAATCCAACAAATTACATCAATATACTGAATCTATAAAATCCATCAATAAAATCAATCAGTGAAATCCGTCAAATTAAGCAAAGAAATCATTGAAATATATTAGATAAATCTTTTTGATAAAAAACAATGTATCTAGGGATGAAATTCAGCTCTATCAAGTTATATCAATAACTGAAATCAAAGAATGAAAATAATGCTATGAAGAAATCACTTAATTCAATCAAACCAGACAGTGAATTCAATCAAATCAAACTAATAACTGAAATAAATGGAATCAAAGAAATGAGTCAACACAATCAATCAGTGAAAACAAAATCGATGAATTCATTCAATCAAATCAAGTACTGATATTAGGCAAAGCAGTAAATCCAATAATAATAGATTTGATTTATATAGAGCCTTTCAAAGAGACCCAATGACGCCTACTTCAATCAATCATTCAAACAAATCTGTCACTGAAATGTATTAAATGAATCATATCAATGAATAAAATCAATAAGTCAATCAAATCAGTCACCAAATATATCAAATCAGTCAGTGAAATAAGTCAAACATTTCTATTATGAAATCAGTTAAATTCAATCTCTAATATCTCTAATTCATATATCTCTATATCTCTAATCCATATATATATTTTAGGGCTGGGCACGTTAACGTGTTATTTTCGCGTTAACTCATTAATTAATTATCTCCGACAATTATTTTATCTCGCATTAACACAGTTTTTATTATTTATTTTCTTATTGTAAAAGTCTGTTGCTATAATGCAATAAGCTTTAGTTTTGTATTTATTTGCTTTGATTACATTGTTTAAGTTGAGAAGTACATTTACAATAAAAGTGCGCTATACACTACTTTTGAATTCATTATTGGATTTTGCGTAAAACAATGCGATTAATCGTGATTAATCACAGGAACTCATGCGATTAACGCGATTAAAACGTTTAATCGTTGCCCAGCCCTAATATCGCTATATATCTAATCCATATATATATCTATATCTCTAATCCATATATCTCTATATATCTTAACCATATATGTATGTATAAATGTTTTATGTCTGATGTCTAATCTTTAATGTCATCCTATATCCAGCACAGTGGGGGAACTATACAAACACCGTTCTGACTGCTCCAGATAAAAATAGTCAAGCTGAAACATAATAATCAGTCTTTAATTAAATCATGTTTTAAAGTCTGATTAAAATGTCATGTACATACAATAAAAAAAACAACAACAACAAGGTACCTAACTTGTTTACAAATCCTACTTTGTTTTCCCCAAAGTCACCAAACAGGCCAACCATTCCTCAGGAGAAGATCCGCCCCTTAACCAGTTTGGACCACCTTCAGAGCCCGTTCTACGACCCTGAGGGAGGGGCTATTGCCTCTATAGCAAGGGTGGTGTTGGAACGCATTGCTAGAAAGGTAAAATATAATACAGTGTGTGTGTGTGTGTGTGTGTGTGTGTGTGTGTGTGTGTGTGTGTGTGTGTGTGTGTGTGTGTGTGTGTGTGTGTGTGTGTGTGTGTGTGTGTGTGTGTGTGTGTGTGTGTGTGTGTGTGTGTGTGTGTGTGTGTGTGTGTGTGTGTGTGTGTGTGTGTGTGTGTGTGTGTGTGTGTGTGTGTGTGTGTGTGTGTGTGTGTGTGTGTGTGTGTGTGTGTGTGTGTGTGTGTGTGTGTGTGTGTGTGTGTGTGTGTGTGTGTGTGTGTGTGTGTGTGTGTGTGTGTGTGTGTGTGTGTGTGTGTGTGTGTGTGTGTGTGTGTGTGTGTGTGTGTGTGTGAGTGAGTGAGTGAGTGAGTGAGTGAGTGAGTGAGTGAGTGAGTGAGTGAGTGAGTGAGTGAGTGAGTGAGTGAGTGAGTGAGTGAGTGAGTGAGTGAGTGAGTGAGTGAGTGAGTGAGTGAGTGAGTGAGTGAGTGAGTGAGTGAGTGAGTGAGTGAGTGAGTGAGTGAGTGAGTGAGTGAGGGGTTGTTTCTCTTGTAACTGACTCCTGTTTACCTTATGTATGCAGGGAGAGCAGTGTAATATGGTACCAGACACAGTCGATGACATAGTTGCTGATACTGGACAGGAGGAGAATGAAGAAGGTAAACAAACACAGACACTCTCTATGTTGTTTATGAACCCTTTTCACAAAGAAGACTTTTGATGATTTAAGGCGTGTTGGAGTTCTCAAATTATTTTGTCATGTCCTTGAAACTTACCTGCTTATGCCTTTCACTCCATGTTTGCCAAACATTCACTTTAACTATCTATTACAGCCCCAGTCTCATACAAGTATCACTGCTCTACTTCACTAATCAAAGCATTTCATTTTCAAGTATTTCCACCTTGTGCCATGTAGACTCTTTTAGGGCCTAAGTCAATGTACTTACATTTGAAGGATCTATAAGGCTGCTGTGAAGATCTTTTTTTTTGGACAAAGCTCTGTAAACTGGGTATCTGTCCAGATCATTCTAGAGAATTAATGCATGTGGCTAGAGGGAAATATGGGACCCTTTGAAACCAATCTTCATTCAAGCTTTCCCCTTGGTCCAACAGGAGCTTTCTTTTTTACTTACACATCAACACAACTCTCGTTTTACATTCCCCTTTATGTCTCCAGTTACTTTCTTTCCCTGTTTTCTCTGTCATCACCAGTTTGTATTCCCCTAGTGCCTGACAATATACATGATCTTTTATAACCACGTATTTGTCTGCCCCCTTTGACCCCAGGAATAGCAAAGTAATTGAAGCCAGTGCATCTTTTAAGGCTTGTAGCTCTTGGTTATGTACGTGTCGCTCTTTGCCATGAGTCCAAAAACAAACTAACAAACACAAAATCTTGCTGTAGGATATGCCAATCTATTTAATGATTCAACACAATAAAGAATAATAAATAAAAGAAAAGGCTTGTTTCTTGCCTCGGTATGCAACGTTTGCCACAGTGTGCCACGGTCAAAAACCATCGACCTCAGTGCTAATCAGCATCCTGCCAACAAAGTTTGGCTCCCTGGGTTCACGGTGCCACCCAGTGGTCAGCACAATATACAAAAACAAACACCCTTAAAAAGTCATTCTGTAGATATATATCATCAATGTATAATTTTTTCATTTTATAATGCAACGTTGTATAGTAATATACTGTATGTCCCTCATCATCTTATTAGTTACTGTGATTAAGTGAAATGAAAGACTAAAGGAATATGGCAGAAGTACATGTATCTGGTAACAGTGATCATTTTATGAATTATATATATTATTTTGGTTTATCCTCCCTAATCTTAATAATGCTGTGTATTTATTTTTCAGATGACACACCAGAGACATGTATCTACTCACCTTGGTCCCCCTGGTCGGCATGCAGCAGTGCTACGTGTGAAAAAGGACGTAGGATGAGGCAGAGGATGCTGAAGGCCCAGCTTGACCGCAGCGTTCCATGTCCACATACTCAAGACTTTCAGCCCTGCATGGGACCAGGATGCAGTATGGAGGGTAAAAATTAATGTAAAAAAAAAAAACAGAGCTGCAGCTGCTGTCGGTTGGTTGGTCACATTTTACTCACTGACAGGAATTTAGGACAAAAAGCATCAATACTCTTCAGACCTACTTCACAGAAATTACACTTTTTATGTCTTCACCAGATCTTGATGATTGGTGATGAAGGCCACGACTCAGCCAATTATTCTTGCACATTTATGAGTGTAGGAGCCAGGGTTTGATCCGCCCAATCTTAGATTGAGGATTACCCAATTCCTCCCTAAACTGTCAAAACACTCTCTGTGAGTGATCATTTAAAGTTATGACTGAGGAAAGAGTAGACCAACTAAGCAACTATAAGCATGTCTTTTTTAAGTGTATAGTACAGATGGATAATGTAAACCCTTAGCAAAGGGGTATCATCATCTATTTATGAAATAAATAAATATTGACACAAAATATTGATGAGATATTCATTTGTTTTTTCTTCTGCTAAAAACACTGTAACATTCTTCAATTAGCCAGCTTAGCACCTTTAACCAACCTTGAACTGAACATTTCTAATGATGATGAAGTAAGATTACCAGAAAAGGTCTGGGGGAATCAGTGCTGCACTTAATGGAGGTTTTACACCTCAATTGTCTGCGATTAGATCAGTAGTCTGTTCTTCTTAGAAACTGACTGAGAGAAAGAGCAGACATTCAGAAATCATATATTGACTAGCACAGCCCTTTATTTAGATTTATCCTGATAACTGAGGTCTTGGTATTAGTACAAAGAACAAAACAGTTATATGACCAAAATGAGCTTGATTTTATAGTTCATTTTATAGTAACAAGTCAGCTCAAGTTTTGATGCAGAATTCTCTTATCCTAATATAACAAAGAGAGAAAAAAGTCAGAAAATCTCAAAATATTTCAATCATATTTTCTTTCTTGCTGGCCAGAGCAATCGACGTGTATGATGTCGGAGTGGATCAGCTGGTCAGCCTGCAGTGTGTCCTGTGGTATGGGGATGAGGTCTAGGGAGCGGTACGTCAAACAGTATCCTGAGGATGGTTCGCTTTGCCAGCTCAACTCTGAGGAGACAGAGAAGTGTGTGGTCAATGATGAATGCTGTGAGTTCTTCCTTTTTTGTGGATGCTTTTAAAAATAAATGTTTGTTTACTAAATGACAGCATGACAAAGTAAACCCGCTTGTGCATTTGGATTCAGAAGCTGTCTTTTACATGTCAATCATGAAATCTTTTATTGAATCTTTTACTTGTTTGAAGATGTACAGCTCTGGAATTATGAACTCTGTAAAACTGTATCATGTTTAAGATTATGTTGTCATTAGATTGCCAGAACTACAGATAGATTTTTTTGTAAAAGTAGTATTTGATATATATTTGTTAATAATTTAATTTGGTTCTACTTAATGTACTGCTAATACTCTTACTAAAAAAAAGTTTTTGTGAACGTCTTTTATACTAAATTAGTAAAGTGGAATTTCACACAAGTTAGGAAATGCATATCCCTTTTCAGCCGTAGAGAAATCTCTTCAGTCATGGACAAACCCTCCTAACTTGAGACATGATTTGGTGGAAAATGACTCCTTTGATATCTGCAATGAAGAAGTTTGACAATTATGATTGTTATGAATGTTTTTTCTAAAATTGAGCTCTAATTGAAGCCGCCAAGCTAAAAGTAGATCGCCCTGTAATGGAATGACTGAGAGAGAGTTTTCTTTTAAATAGCGTTCTTGGTATTTGTCCTTTCCACAGCACCCAGTAGCTGTGTGGTGACTGAGTGGGGCGAGTGGGACCCCTGCAGTGTCACCTGTGGGCTAGGTATGAAGAGACGTGAGCGCATGGTGAAGATGCCACCTATAGATGGATCCATGTGTAAGACAGAGGTAGCTGAAGTGGAGAAGTGCATGATGCCAGAATGCTGTAAGTTACCAAATATTTATGTCCTTTTATTTAAATTGTGTTAATACATACCACACATTGTTCTACATTATACACTGAATAGACTGATGAGAGAGATTTGGAGTATGAAGTCAGATTAATAATCATTTATAACTCCAAACTGACAGTTAAAGTTGGTAATAATGACTATCTGTGTTCATCTCCTGCAGATACCATCCCTTGCATGCTGTCACCCTGGTCTGACTGGAGTGTGTGTAGTGTTACTTGTGGGCGGGGCATACGAACACGTCAGAGGATGTTGAAGTCTGATCCTGCAGGATGCACAGAGGAGCTGGAGCAGACAGAGAAATGCATGCTGCCCGAATGCCGTAAGTAGGACAAATCCGCTGCTGTTCATTACCAAAAGAGCTGTAGACCAACCTCTGTCTGAATAGTTTAGTCCAGTGGTTCTCAAACGTTTTAATCTGCGTACCACCTCCGAAAATATTTGGCTCTCCAAGTACCACCATTATGGTAGACGTTAAAATACACTGTAGGCCTATTTCTACACACATTTTACGCAGGAGGTTATTTATTATTGACTGTTGGCAGCCACACAGTCTGACTTTTCTGACTACTAAGGGCTAGCGCTAGAACTGACACTTAAACTAACACAACTCTGACATTTACCCAAATCAAATGAAGGGCAGAACAATAAAAATGACAACTTTATACCAACAACCTGTTTGAGAATATTTAGTCTCCAGTGTTTCCCACAAAGACGATACCTGGGCCCAAGTATATTTACGACCTGTTCTTATTTAATTTTTCATTTATTCATGCCTCTCGTGCCTGAGAGAGCGAGAGAGAGAGAGAGAGAAAGAGAGAGAGAGAGAAAGAGCAGGGGAGAGAGAGCGCGAGAGAGTGCAGGCGCACGCTCCGCAGGCTCCGTGCAACCAGAGCCTCTGTATTATAAGGCTCTGCGTTCAACATAGCAAAACTCCTCGACTCCTGCGCATAGTTAAGACAGCAAAATAGAGCAGAATCACATCAGCTTCAGAGCAAGCGAGAGAGAGAGAGAGAGAGAGAGAGAGAGAGAGAGAGAGGGTTCAGTACTGAACTATAACTGAATATCGAGTGGAACTTTTAAAAACGCGAGGCGTACTCTTGTTTTTGTTTATGTCTGTGCGCGTTCGAGCATAAATTGAGAAGATTAAAGTTGTTTGTTGCCAAAACTAGATTAATTTAGAGGGAAAACACATTTGGAATACAACCCAATAGATACAAGACAGATAATATAAGTATGACAAAAAAAAATTGTTTTATGCTGAACCTTTTTTTTTTAAATATATATTTGGAGATTTGCGTACCACCACAGGGAGCCCGCGTACCATGTACCATAGTTTGAGAACCACTGCTTTAGTATACCCTTTCACTCATCATCAGACCTTAGTTATATGAGGTGCTATACTCTTCTATACCAAGTAGCTACTGTTTAGAAAAGAAGCTAACGGGCATCTTAAAAAACAAACAATAATAATAATACAAAACCAGTTGGTAAGCAAAGCGCACCGAAACTTCAAATTCAAACAATGAAACAACTGAAAGACTCTGATGTTCACATTTCAATTGAATTGATATTGACTTAAAAAAGTAGTGTTCAGCATGCCTAATCAAAAATCCTGTGGGAGAATCCTCCAGCCTCTTTTCTCAGCAGAAAAAAACACATGATGTTTAATATGTTAGCACATAAGTATCAAATCATATATTCAGCTCTCTGTTTGATTTCTGTTTTGCATTATAGTATGTCATATGTATGTAAGTGTGAAAAATCACACTATTCAAAACTACCATCAGTCATGTTTTTTTACATTTTATATTTTTACGTTTATGTTACATAATAATAATAATAATTTGATACAGCACCTTTCCTTTGACTATGGAACAAAATCATGATTTCAGATTAATTATCGGAACTAGTAGGAATATGCACTTTTGTGAATTTTGGCCCCTGTCCTTCTAAAATCTGCGTGCTAGTGTCTGTTTTGATCATCTGTGTTTAGGCCGGTCAATTCATTTCTATTCTGCCTTCATAAAGTTACACATTCATGTCATTCAGAAAAGATGAATTAAATAAGTAGTTTGAATGTATTACATCATAGATTTAATAAACAGACCAGAATCTGTGTTTATTTTACTGATAAATATCTGTACTGCACTTTGCCTATCAAGCTCAGATGTAATTGTCTGTCACTGCTTTCCTCTTTATGTTTCTAAACTTCTGTGTATCCTTTCAGCGATTGACTGCATGGTGTCAGAGTGGTCAGAGTGGTCAGAGTGCAACAAGTCCTGTGGAAAAGGACACACGATTCGAACCCGTATGGTCAAACTGGAGCCCCAGCTTGGGGGGAGTGGTTGTCCGGAGACAATCCAGAGGAAGAAATGCAAGATCAGAAAGTGCCGAACAAAAACGAGGGAGGAGAAAGGAGGTGGAGCTGGAGGAGGAAATAGAAGGAGGCGTGGAAAACAGGGAAGAGATGCAGCTGTCGAGGAGCAGCTAGGTTGGCTAAAAGTTTTAAAATTTTTAAAATCATTATTATTACAGCTGATAAATGAGACCAAAACTGACTGGCCATTGTTTTAATATCTTTATTATTATTACAGCTGATATGAGACCAAAACTGACTGGCCATTGTTTTTTTCCCATTAGGTTGTAGGCTACAGCCGTGGACCAGCTGGACGGACTGCACCAAACCATGTGGAGGGGGAATCCAAGAACGTTTCATGATGGTGAAGAAAAGAGGTAAAGGTACCGTGATGGCAAGCTGTAAGGACCGAAAGGAGATCCGCGCGTGTAACGTTCATCCCTGCTAGCAACAGGACTTTGAGAGGAGGAGAGGCAACAGCTGGATAAGTCCATGAGGTTCAAATATGTTTGTTTTTTGTTTTTTAAATGACCTCTATGTGCAGGGAGGTGAGATGTGCGGAAGGAATATGGGTTTGTTTGGAACTTTGGAAAATCAATCTGTGTTTAGGTAACTAAAAAGGAAGAGAGAAAGATTTATATTGTACTGTTTAGTGAACCAAGGTTTTTGTTAGATTTTGCTGTAGATAATAATGGTCGAATTTAAGTGGAAGTTCAGTGTTCTGCAATAAATAAATAAAAAGTTTTGAGGAATGTTCCGTTAAGTAATCTAACTACAGATGGTTTGTTATCAAGCTTGGTTGCTTTTCTTTTGTTTTTCTGAGGTTTTGTCCTTGGGGTTTGAAATACGGTGTCGGCTTGAGATCTCCTCTTGAGAATTCTCACAAAAATCTTCAATTATTTTCCCAGAAAAATAGCCATACAGGAGCCTGAGATATTCGCATGTGACTACTTCTTACTGTACTGACTCAAAGATGCCTTCGATACATTATTTTTACCCTTTAAATACCATTAATGCATTAAATATCCTCATCAAGTATTCTTCTAATCTTATTCAGAATTGTTTGGCAGCCTGCAGGGCTTTGGAAAATATTTTGAAGCCAGCTCAACAATCTTTGTTCAGACAAGCAGGGTGAAAACTTAGAGTTCAAGTTTGGTTTATTAAATGATATAAATCATATTGTAGGTCTGTTAAATGCTGTGAGATGCAGAGAGAGTTCTTTTTGCAAGACAAAACCCAGAGAGTCTTTAAAGATGTATTGATAAAATGTCTATTTAGTATCTAACCAACACTTAATTACAACTACAAATAGTACTAAAAACCACTTAAGATAGAAGAGATCAATTTTAAGGGACATTTTTTATACTGTTAAGATTAGTCTTTATGTACCTTACTGCTTTGTGTCATGTCTTTACATATCTGCTGTGCAGCACTGCTGCAACGGAAGCTCCATGGAAACCTTTGCGGATTAAAAAACAGTACTGTTGCCTGTTACTGGGACCTTTGTACCAATATAGCTTTTCTTATAATTGTTGTTGTTGTTTTTCTTTGTACTGTCATTAAGAGAGATTTGTAGTATACCTTGTTTGTTAGAATTAGCAGTGTGTTTCTACCCTCTTTCTTTCTACTGTTTCATCACCAAAGTTATATTTCCTTGACTTTATAGCCTTTGCTCTTTGTCATTTTGGACATCTGTTTTTTTTTCATTGCCTCTGTTTCACTGACTAGTTTCTTAGATCACTTACTGGAATCACTTTTCCAATAAAAAATAATATAAGTGTAAAAATCATGACTTCAGTTGGCTTACTTTAACCCTTTTCACACATACAAAAATCTCCTGAAAAACTCTGGAGATTAGTCTACCCGGAGGTTCTTTAGGCTATGTGTGAACGCAAACAGACACATTTTTCACAGACTTTACCCGGAGTTTCTCCTCCAGACTCCTAGTATTTAATCCGCATTATGCTTTCTGTTCCTCAGTATGTTGTTCTCCTCTCTTTTGTGGATGTTGTCATTCCATTGGATTACACATAGCATTGATATAAAGACAAATATTGTCATTATAACGTTGTGTAGCGGACTCTGTTCTTCTGTTCTTCTGTTCTTCGTTTATCCACAGGACTTGTTGCACTCTGACCACTCTGACACCATGCAGTCAAGAAAGGATACACAGAAGTTCAGAAACAATAGGACAAGTCAGAAAAATAAAGAGGAAAGCAGTGACAGACAATTACATTTGAGCTTGATAGGCAAAGTGCAGCACAGATATTTATCCCCCCCCCCCCGACAGGGATAGGATAGGCTTTTGAAGTGGGGCCTTACCTAACATGTCAAAGAACAGTAAAGGCTGTTTAATGATGATACAACTTAATATAAAGTATCTTGGCACATATTATTAGTAGTATCATTTCCAAGCAGGTGAAAGGATCATGTAATATATCCATCATCCAGAACTGAAATCAAGTTGACCTGTCTCATCATGTTGACCATGTCTCATCATGTACTTACACATTCACTCCACAAGATGGAGATAGAAGAACAGAATACAGGTAACCCAAATGAAATCAAGATTTTACAGGGAGGAGCGACACGAAGAGATAGAACTGTTTAAAGTAGTTTTCTAGTCACAGCCTGCTCTTAACGGTCCTTCATGCTGTTCTTCTACGTCTACATGTCAGTTGATTTGCCTCCCAAGTAATGTTTGATTTCCTGGATTTGTTTATCTTTCACACACACCACACACACACACACACACACACACACACACACACACACACTATATTCACAATGCTGTCTCAAACTTACTCTCACTCAACATAGCAACAGACAAAGAGGTGCAGCTGAGGCAGGCCTTATTTCTCTTGGCACACAGCACCCTCTTTTTATTCAGAAGAGTTCGAAGCCAAAAGCAGAACTCTGAGCTGTGAAGTCAAAGACGAGTTACAAAGCAATTCAAAAACCCTTCAGATATTAATGAGCTCTTCAGACCAAAACATTTTTTTAACCAGGCTAGAAACTTCTTAACATGGATGTTGATGGTGAACGATCAAGGAACTTCTGCATTGGCTCCACTTTTCAACATTGGATGTTGCTGCTTGGTTTAAACTCCTGAGTTGTATTCATCACAGTGCAACATTTTTAACATAAAGGCAAAGAAATTCATTACATCAGTACTGGATGTTGAGCTAATCTTTTGAGTTCTATTTTGTGACCTTTACTTACTAATCTGATGAACTTTTGGACCTGCAGTGTCTTACTGTATGTTACACCTTTTTGCTGATGTAAAATCTCAATCCGTGTTTAAGTGAACTGTTCAATAGGCGTACAACGGAAGCTGTTATGAAGTCAGCCCACAAGGATTCCAATGAATTATAAATAATGGATAAAGTACAATAGCTTTTTATCTACTAACAATCAATATTGAATGATGTTTGTAGCAGATGAGCTGTGCTCATGGAGTTACAGCTCACACAGTGAGAGAAACAATTAGACATGCTTTTAGCTTCAGCGTATCAGGCAGAAGCACTTTGTGACAGTTCCACTTATCATGACTGAAGTCTTTTTCCTTTAAAATCCTCTGACAGAGAAAGGGTTAACTGAGGATGTGCATGCATCCCTAAGTAGTGCAGGAAAGAAGGTCACTTTAGATTTGTAAACTCAACATCTTTTAACTCAGAGTTGTGTTGCTCAATCTGGCAAAAATCTAATTTATAATATAAGATAGAATTTAAGGATACCAAAAGATATACTGAAATGAGTCTATACTGTGTGTGTAATATATATAAACAGTATATATATATATGTTACATATATATACATGTTCTTTTCTCAAGTTATTATCATAACCTTTAAACTACATGAAGTTCCTTATTTTATTTCAAAATAAATGCAGGTTTGTATTCAAAACAGGAAGTAAATTACCCTCAGTCATAACACAGTACAAAAATTTAAAAAGCCTTACAACTTATTTTGAAAAATAGTAAGGACCTTCTGGTAAATCACAGATAAAAAAAAAAAAAAACCTTAATGAAAACAGCCAAAATGAATGTTAAAAAAAGCTAAATGTTTAATGTCAAAAGGTGGATATTACTTTTGACCTGTCAGCTAAGCTCTCTGAGTTTTTTTAAATTGAAATGAGACATTGAAGGCTGCAGCAGCGTCGTTCTGGTCCATCACTACAGGGAAACACTGCAGAGGCTTATCCAAGGTGTGCCTATAGGGACAAAATAGCATGTGATTAATTGCAATTTAAAAAACATGATGTATTCATTTCAGACCTTAATTAATCGCAGGCAATCAACTAGTAAATGCTGACAGCTCTGATATATATATATATATATTACTTTATTACATTGTTATTACATTACATTTCCTGTGTATTACCTCACAGGAAGACTGTAACTATATATGACATAATATGCTGATTAAGTGCTGACACAGTCTCACAATAATCTATCATTTATTTAAAATCCTAGATTGTACATTTATCTCCCTGCCTCGTTCTTTTCTTGTCTTTTGTAAGTTAACTCTCTTAAAGAGCGGACTTTAGGACTCTCTGGATGTTTGAAGGAGGTAAGTCACTTTTCAGGTCTATGGTCAGGTGTTTGGCCAATTCATCTGCTAACTGGTATTTTGTAGCATCCCCCTTTCATATCTCTTAACAGTTGTTTTTATTGGTGCGTACAGACTTTGTTTTTGTTAAACTATTGCTGAGTAATCTCTATTAAAATCAATCTGGCTGCCTCTGAGAGTAGTATCTTTGCTCAGGAAGCCTGTAGCACATTTCAGTAAGTCTACCTTATAGACTACCCAACACAACATGATTATATGATTACGTTAGAACATGATTAGAAGATTTAAGATTATTGTTCCAGTTAATATTTAAAAGCTGCAACCACATACGGTATATGTCCAACCAAATATTTAAGCCTTTAAACACAAACACACATAACAGGCCAACAAAGAGTCACATTACTGAAATCTGGTTAAAAGTCATGTACCTTTTTGTTACACCCCCTTTGTCCTGTTTGACACAAATATCACTCTGTTGAAAGCAGACTGAGTGGTTTGAGAAAACAAGAACATCTCAGTCAGAAGAAACAGCTGGCTGAGTATTTGTGTCCTGAAGAGCAAGTTAAGAGTTGTGAATCTTGTTAATAATGTAAGTGTTGCATGTTGTTGTGAGATTGTTTGGAGCTTAAGCTTTAATCCACTAAAGGCATAGCAGTTTCATTCTGTTTAGTTATGAGTGACATTTATTTTTGCTGACCATAAGATTGTATTAAAAAATGGACATGGGTCATATTTGACACATTTTCTGCATTACAGTTTTTTGAATATGTACAATAAACACTAAAAAGCAATGTTAACACGGTAGTGTCCCAGTAGTAAATACATTCAAGTAGACACTGTGTTCACTTCTCTTGTACTGCTGAGGTGCCCTTGAGCAACCCTTACCGGCTCAGGTGCAGCAGCCATTAATGCATGTCCACAAATCCTGTTTAAATGCATGTGTGTATTTCAGGTCTATGTGTGTCAGTAGCATGTCTCTAAATAACACCCAAAAATTCCCATGTGGATTTATAAAGTATATGAAATTAAAAGAGTCATAAGAGTCAGTCAGTTCTTATTGGCCTAACGTTGGATATGTGTTTGTTTATGTGTCTCATTAATCCTTTATTTCACTGATTTCTGTATCTCACAATCCTCATAAATGAAACCATTATGTCTGTAGAAATATTTATTAACATCTGAATGAACAGTTTAAACAGTCTCTCTTATGATCATAATACATTGTGTGTTTACAGTTTCATTAGTAACTCACAACAGAAGTTTTTAATAATTACTCAAAAACATAATGCATGCATTGTACCTACAAACATAGAAAGAAGTTATTTGTGACAGTGTCAAATACAAAGACATAAACAGTTCTGTAATCAATCCAAATTTCAATAAACACTGGCTTATCAAAGCAACCAAAGGGTGTGGTCTAAATCAAAGGGGAAAACAAACCAGCAGGATTGTGCTGATGCACAATTTCACTCAATTTCACCCCCCACCCCCCCTGCATATTGACAATAAAACATCTTTATGACACCTTATCTGTCTGGTCTGCATTTGGGTTCAGCCGCATTTGTGACACTTATCTGCTATTGTCTTGCAATCATCAAGCAGATTTATTTTGTGTTGTTAATTTTGTTGTTTACGTTTTTTATTAATTTTCTGTGTATGAAAAAATTCCTCTCCCATCAGCAGATACTAATATTTTATAAACTAAGGCAGGAAGACTTAACAGAAAAGAAAAATGAAGACTGCGTGTGTCACTTTGCATCAATCAACCTGTTGCACAGATGAATTCTTGTGACATGTTTGATCATTTAAGATGTGTTATCTCAGCTGAAGCCCTGTTGTGATCAAAGATGTGTGCAGATCTTAAAAAATAACGTGAAAACATAAGCAAATGCAGTTAGTACACTTCATTTGATATCTTAAAGTCAAATCAGTGCGAGGCTTTGGTGCATTTATCAGTCTCTAATGTAGTATGATATCAGTTTAACACTCTCTAAACAATCAGCTTATATACCTCCATCCTGAAGAGTGTGATGGTCATTGATCTGTTATCCTGAACAAAACCTGCTCAGGACCTCTTATAGGCCAGGGGTTCCCTGCCTTTTCAGCTTGGGACCCCCAAAATAAGGGTGCCATAGACTATGGACCCCCACTGTCCCTGGAGGAGGTTAATGTGTATAACGTGGTGCACAGCCACAACCAAGAACTAATACTGTAGGCCTATCCAAACACTAACACAAAAGAATACAACAACCTAAAAGCCTTATCATTATTATTTATTGTAAAAAAGCTGAAGCAGAATACAAGTAATTTTCATGTATAGACTTAAGTACTGAGTGTTCATAAAAAACATAATAAAAAGACACTGTGTGCATCTTAATGTTTAATGACGTTGCTGTCATGCAAAAACTTACATTTTAAGTATTTTTACACGTTAATTACATTTTTATTTCACTTAATGATTTGGTTTTTGTATTTGAAGATGAACTTCTTTTTGATATATTTTAAAATAATGTCTAAAATATACAATTTTAAATAATTAAAAAATTCTACAGTTTTTTTGGAAGGCCGCTTCCCCCCCTCTTGGTGGCTCCCCCACTTTGGAAACCAGTGTTATAGGCCCTGCAGTCACTGGTCCAATGCCACAGCCCACCCTAAAGCCTCAGCACTAACTCCTCATTATTTATACTCAGGTGTGCAGTGAGAGAGTCGTAGAAAAATAAAGAATGAAACACTTTCATGACATAACACATCTGGGAGCAAGATTGTTTCTATATATTTTAGCAAACCACCATAGGTCAATAGAAATCCTTTTTGACTGAAAAACACAAACAACCATATCACTTTAAATAAATAATCACTAGTAATTAACTGCATGTTGCCACTTACAGATACACTAATCTGATTTTTTCTCCTGTCAATGTCGTTGTTTAAATTTATTTTAAAACATTATATCAATACACAAATATCTATGTAGTAGGGGGCTGAACATAAGCGTTCATCACATCAGCTTTTGCAATAAAAATAAATAAAAGGCCTACTCCCAGAGGAAATTCTTTAGATATGAGGACTGATAGAAAATGAGTTAAGAATCTGAGCCCTCATGCACAAATTGAACAAAAGGACAACACTAAGCACTTCACACACATAGCAGAAACACACCTGTAAGTCTATGACTCAGTGACTGTAAAGATTGGAATTTGCATGGTCACTGTAATCTTTACATTCCCTTTATCCTTGCTACACACCTAGTTCCCCATCCTTTACCTGATTCAATCATCAGCCAATTAAAAGGTGAACTTATCCAAATCCTTTGTTCGTCTGCAAATTCATCAATGTTATTTTGTAGTTTCACATCTTAGCTTTAAGCAAAATGACATTAAATTCAAACTACCAAACTTGTCAAACCAAGCCACAAGGTCTTAGTAGCCCAAATGTCCCCTCAGTCAGTTGTCTATAAGCCACTCCTCAAATCTGCAGACGCGCCTTCCTCTTAGCACTACTAGCTCTGATGTCCTGCCCTGCTCTCCATTGGTCCGTCCAACTTCCTAAGAACTCCTAGATGTCCCTGTTGCTCTAGTTCCTCCAGCCTAGACCAACCCCTGCTTTATTTCTGCCTTGCCCCCCTAACAGGCCAACTGGCAGTTGTCTGCCTGAGGATACATGATCATCCTCTGCCCTCGCCCAATGCCACCAGCCTGAGGTCTCCAGGTCTGCCCTTGTCCAGGCCTCAGGCTGTCCACCTGAGGTCTCCAGGTTTGGAGGATCACGTTGTCCTCCTCATAACAGCCATTATTTATTATTCTTTCAATGAAAAGGTCTAGACTATCAGAATTGCATTTCCCTTATTTTGACCACACCCCTGTTTACAAAATGTGACAATAAACATGCAGTAAATAGTACACTTCATGTAATTTCTGTCAGTGGATTTACACATTCTTAAAGTAAATCATTTTATTCTAAATATTTTCAGGAAGTGTTAGTGAGATAGTCACTAATAGAGCTGAAACTAAGCTTAATGAGATGAAACTTCATGGCTGCTATTGCTGCCAAAAAGTTATTTTAACACTTTATTGATGCAAGTAAAGCTGGAATATTCTACATCACAGCCAAACACAATTTTGAAAAGCTAATACTCTCTTAAACTGACATCTCTAAATATTACTTCATAGCTTACCACTCAGATCACAAGTTATATCTTCAATTATCTAAAAATGATTGATATTGGTCCACAAACTGTAAGTTACTTAAAAGGCATTACTTTCTACAGAATTCAACATGTTAATACTGTCAGTAACAAATACAATATTTGTTATAGTTCATTTGGAATGTTGTTAAGTGTTTTTGGTTGTGAGGGGGAGGAAGTTAGTTACCTTACTCACCGTATAGCCTTGTTCAATAGTGATACAAGTTTGTGTATGGCTTTCAGCTGATGTTACAACTGGGGTTAATCACACCTTGTATGTTTTAACATTCAAGAAGAACTTTCTTTATGTCCACCAACTAGCCGTATATCACCTGAGACTGTGTATTTTTGTCTCTGAGTTTGTGCAAGTGAAGACGTGTTTTTCGTTGTAGTTGTGAGCAGTCATGGTGATGGTGGTGTCTTCAGGGAGTTGGTGGATCCACTCCCCACTGCTCCCTGTCCAACCCACTAAACCACAATACAAAGATAAGAGGGAAGATAGAGTGAGCGAGAAAATGTAAATCAGGTTAGTTACTATATTGAATCAAAATAATAAAGCCCTTACACAAGGGAATGTGCCTGAACTTGATAAACAAAATCATAGGACATCATGTTATTATGTTATTGTTCCCTTATAGGACCAATGACATCATAACATGATGTATAAATCACAAATGATTCTACCAATCATCACCAATGACAACCCAAGCAATTACAATCAGATCAGGCAATTTTAGATTTGGTATTTACCTTTGGTATAAATTTAGTTGTTTGAACCTCTCAGTCATATGTCAAAGAGGAGGCCGTTTGTATCACTTTCATTGTTTCCTTCCCAATAGCATCAGACATGGTTTCAAATAACTCATGGAAATTCAAGAGCATTTTGTTTATCTTAGTCATTTACAGAGCTGGTTAATTATTAATGCTCTCTGTTTGTGGTCAGCAAGGCTTACTCAAACACTTTAGAAAATACTCAAGTGGATAAAAGGAAATTTGTGTGTTTTAGTAACAAAGTTTGTGTTTGTGTCCATATGCATACTTGTAAATCATTAACATTATGCATATCAATGAATTAAATCACAACATTCACACTGTGGCTCAAGTCAGTGAGATAGCTATGCATGTAGGGATAGAGATGAGTAAAAACAGAGGTGAGAGTGAGAGGATACTTTTACATGCCATGCTCTATGTTGAGAAAAGTTCTTCATAAAAAACGTAATCAAGAATGGACTAAAACTCAGTAGAAATGTTGAGCTTTGTATAACTAGAAAACCATTCCCTAAAGACAGAGGTGCTGCTTACCAACAGGCTGCTGCTTGGTAGGGGGGGCCCCCAAGGGCTTAAGAAATTTAAACCACAGCAGTGAAATGTGCCAAGTTTGAAATTATAGTAGGAAACCTCCCGAAGGGGCCCCAGTCTGATAGCACTCACTCATATAATAGAAATGACTGAATGATGCCCGTCTAGCCCTAAATATGAGGGTGACACTTAAACAACATAACTTCAGCTAAGAAAACGTGTTGTCAGATTACTATGGGGACTGAATGAACTCTGTCAGGTTGAAAACACAAAATGCAGCTCTGTGCCGCAGGAGAGGAGCTGATGGCTCAACTTCACAATCAGGAGCAAAACAAGAGCAAACTAGAGAGAGCACAAGGCATTTTTGCACTTCAATATATGCATGCAACATAAGCTTTGTGATTTAGACCTTCAGACAATGGGGGCGATTGATGAGCATTTCATGGAAGATAAGCATATTGTCCTAACACAAAATCTTTAATTCTTGGGGAATGTGTGTGCACTCCATCATTTTCTCAGTTTCTAATATTTATTTCTGATGTGACCGCTGCACACAAGAGTTCTTTAACTTTGACAATGATATACATTATTTCAACAGTATTGTCTTGAAATGAATGCATTCGGGACAGACCACCATGTTTGTAAAATGTTGAAAACAGTAACCAGAAACCTACAAACATTAAAAGAGAGCCACAGGGTACTGGTTTAGCTCAGGTGGTAAAGAAGGCACCCTACTTACAAAGGCTGCAGCCATTGTCGCATTGTTGCTGGATCCTCTCCTGGTCCTGCATGTCATCCCCAACTCTCTCACCCCAAATTTCATGTCTCACTATAGTCCTATCAAATAAAGGCAAAGCCCCAAAAATAATAATTTAAAAGTGATCTACTGTGTTCTGTAGCTCCTGTGCACCACTAACCAAATGTGTAATGTGATGAACACAGTTTGAACTCCTGTAAGTGTAAGTCTTTCGCACAGAGAATATATTATTAACAAATAATTTTAGAAAAGTACAGGACTTTACATCCATATTCAAGACGGAACTCTAATCTTGGTCCAGATCAGGTTTGGAGTTCTGAAGTTATCATGTGGTTAGAGCTAGGTTCTAGCTTTAGGCCTTACATGGCTTATCCATTAATCATTCTCCGCAGTACTCCCCTGACTGTGTGGATCTTTAAAAGAAACACAAATAAACCATTAGACTAGATCTCAGTCCCTGCTGCTCAAAGATCATAAACAGTTACTTGAGAATGTTTGAAAGAGCCTCTCTGAAAGTGTGTTTGTGTGTTTTAAATCAACACAAATAGCCCTAGAGACAGCAAGAGAGCTCTTCTAGTTTAACTGTTGTTAGAAATATCAGAGTCACTGACCCATTGCAAATTCTGCGCCGCCTCTGGTAGACACTGTGTGACAGCTAGTGCTCAGTTTACTTCTGAAGCTTAATGCAGTGCTTTGATATGAGCTGAGAGAATTTAGACTCCTGGTGTTAGGATGCAACTAAAAAAAGAACCATTTCCATTTATGATTCATAAAGAGCTCTAACTGCTCACTGACTGAGCTGAATTATTTGCTCCCTGTTTCTTCTCTCACATTCACTTTGGGTACACACTTACTTTAAGTCAGGAAATCTCACCATTTCAAACTGCTACAGGTTTTTGAGGTAACGTCCACACAAAAGGTTACCTTGTGGTTGTTCGAAATAAATAAATGTATTCCATGAAAATAAAACTGTGCTTGATTTTAGAAATAACCAAAGAAGAGCATTATAAGCACTGGCTCCCTATGAAATCTAGAATAGAATTTAAAATCCTACTTCTCACTTACAAAGCTCTAAATCAGTGTTGTCTGAACTTTTTTTCTTGCGGGCCAAAATTGTCGTGTTAGAATCGCTCGCGGGCCACAGGTTTTGTTTTTTAAAATATAATTGAAAAAATAGTAAGGCTTTGTAGATCAGAATCAAAAGGCTCGCTAAAGAAACCCTTTAATAAAAGGAAATCAAACATTTTGATTTCTTCGTTCTACTTTATTTGTTTTTTCTCAGAATCAAATCTGTAACGTGGTTCATTTTTTTAGAAAAGCTTTCTGCATTTAGCTCAGGTCATTAAATGGTTAAACAACAGTCCGCTTGTTTGCAAAAACTTTGCATACGTTTTTTTCATAGTTTACAAAAAAACAAATGGAAAATAGTAAAAGCTAGATTTAAAAAATAACAACAACATACATGTTACTGAACATTTTCTATTTTAGGAATATTGTTCAGCTCTTGTTAACATGAAAAAGAAAAATAAGATAATGTGCCAATCTTAATCAAGGCCTCGGGCCAAAATCTTCTGATTCTTCATTTGAAGTCACGGGCCGCAAAAAATCCCCTCAAGGGCCACAAATGGCTCTCGGGCCGCTCTTTTGACACCCCTGCTCTAAATGGTCAGGCACCATCTTATCTTAAGGAGCTAATTGTGCCACATTACCCCTTCAAGAACATTACGGTCCCTGCTCGTGGTACCTACAGTCTCTAAATGTACTATGGGAGGTAAAGCCTTCAGTTATCAGATCTGCTAGTGGTACCTACAGTCTCTAAGTTTACTATGGGAGGTAAAGCCTTCAGTTATCGGGCTCCTCTCCTCTGGAATTGTCTTCCAGCCAGGGTCCGGGAGGCAGACACAGTCTGTATTTTTAAGAATAGACTTAAAACTTTCCTTTTTGATAAATCTTATAGTTAGGGCTGGTGCTGGTGTAGACCAGCTCCTAGTTATGCTGCTATAGGCTTAGACTACCGGCGGAACTGGCACCTTAAGCTCCTCCCTCTCTCGCTCTCTCTCTCTGTGCATTCACATCATATTCCTGCATATCACGATCTGTAAATCTTAGTTACTAACCACATCTTCTCTGGGAGCTCCTGAGCTCTCGTAGGTTCCACGGGATTGTTGAATGACGGCCTGCCTGAACGACCAACCCCACTCTCACTCTTTATGTAAAATATGTTTTTTAAATAAAATAATTATTTTGTTGAACTTTGATACCTGTAAAATACTGTGACACTGTCATCCATATTTTTTTTAATTCTCACACTTTTCATCGACCACTTGTAAAGGAATAGTTCCATATTTTTGAAGTAGGGTTGTATGAGGTTCTTCTCTCTATGAAGTAATTATATCTATATACAGTGGGTACGGAAAGTATTCAGACCCCTTTACATTTTTCACTCTTTGTTTCATTGCAGCCATTTGCTAAAATCAAAAAAGTTAATTTTATTTCTCATTAATGTACATTCAGCACCCCATCTTGACAGAAAAAAAACAGAAATGTAGAAATATTTGCAAATTTATTAAAAAAAGAAAAACTAAAATATCACATGGTCATAAGTATTCAGACCCTTTGCTCAGTATTGAGTAGAAGCACCCTTTTGAGCTAGTACAGCCATGAGTCTTCTTGGGAATGATGCAACAAGTTTTTCACACCTGGATTTGGGGATCCTCTGCCATTCTTCCTTGCAGATCCTCTCCAGTTCTGTCAGATTGGATGATGAACGTTGGTGGACAGCCATTTTCAGGTCTCTCCAGAGATGCTCAATTGGGTTTAGGTCAGGGCTCTGGCTGGGCCAGTCAAGAATGGTCACAGAGTTGTTCCGAAGCCACTCCTTTGTTATTTTAGCTGTGTGCTTAGGGTCATTGTCTTGTTGGAAGGTGAACCTTCGGCCCAGTCTGAGGTCCTGAGCACTCTGGAAGAGGTTTTCTTCCAGGATATCTCTGTACTTGGCCGCATTCATCTTTCCTTCAATTGCAACCAGTCGTCCTGTCCCTGCAGCTGAAAAACACCCCCATAGCATGATGTTGCCACCACCATGTTTCACTGTTGGGATTGTATTGGGCAGGTGATGAGCAGTGCCTGGTTTTCTCCACACATACCGCTTAGAATGAAAGCCAGAAAGTTCAATCTTGGTCTCATCAGACCAGAGAATCTTCTTTCTCATAGTCTGGGAGTCCTTCATGTGTTTTTTGGCAAACTCTATGCAGGCTTTCTTGCACTGTCTTGCACTGAGGAGAGGCTTCCGTCGGGCCACTCTGCCATAAAGCCCCGACTGGTGGACGGCTGCAGTGATAGTTGACTTTGTAAAACTTTCTCCCATCTCCCTACTGCATCTCTGGAGCTCAGCCACAGTGATCTTTGGGTTCTTCTTTACCTCTCTCACCAAGGCTCTTCTCCCACGATTGCTCAGTTTGGCTGGACGGCCAGGTCTAGGAAGAGTTCTGGTCGTCCCAAACTTCTTCCATTTAAGGATTATGGAGGCCACTGTGCTCTTAGGAACCTTGAGTGCTGCAGAAATTCTTTTGTAACCTTGGCCAGATCTGTGCCTTGCCACAATTCTGTCTCTGAGCTCCTTGGGCAATTCCTTCGACCTCATGATTCTCATTTGCTGTGACATGCACTGTGAGCTGTAAGGTCTTATATAGACAGGTGTGTGCCTTTCCTAATCAAGTCCAATCAGTTTAATTAAACACAGCTGGACTCCAATGAAGGAGCAGAACCATCTCAAGGAGGATCAGAAGAAATGGACAGCATGTGAGTTAAATATGAGTGTCACAGCAAAGGGTCTGAATACTTATGACCATGTGATATTTCAGTTTTTCTTTTTTAATAAATTTGCAAAAATTTCTACATTTCTGTTTTTTTTCTGTCAAGATGGGGTGCTGAGTGTACATTAATGAGAAATAAAATGAACTTTTTTGATTTTAGCAAATGGCTGCAATGAAACAAAGAGTGAAAAATGTAAAGGGGTCTGAATACTTTCCGTACCCCACTGTAAAAGATGCTCGTCGGCTTGGCCCCTTTAAAGAGAGACTATCCACAGTGCTTGAACTGGAAGCTATTTTATAAATCACTGCAGACAGGGTCATTTGCACCATGTAACCTACCTAATCCCACATAACTGAAACACGAGGAACAACATGCTTCATACGATAAAACATTAGTTTTATATCACGTCATCTCTTCAGTCTGTACTCACTTGCTCCACTGTGCTTCTCATACTGTGTTTTTTTATTTTTTATTTAATGAATGTTATCCAGGCCTTGTGTGAATTTGCATTTGAAGGGGGAGGTGGTCACTATAGAGATGAAATCATCTTCCAAGCTGGCATGTACCGATATACACACAGTTGCCCATACCTCTATGAGAGGATGCCAGTGTGCAATTGGTTTCCGTGGATATGTCAGCATCTCATTCCAGTGGTCTCGCCCAAGTGGTCTCGCCCAAGAGTCTCTGCCTCACTTCCCACTTTGCAAACCCCAATCACTTCATTATGCCCGACCCTGCAGAATGAAAAGAATAGTTTATGAAGATGGAAAATGTTGTATTTGGTAGCTTGCTGTATATGCAGTTGAGACAATAAGTTACTCACCGATCATAGTCCATGACAGCTATGAGCAGGCTGATCTGGTCAATGTTCTCAGGAGGAACATCAAACACGATGGCTTCATTGTAGACTGGGTTCAGAGTGTTACGTTTGGTTGATGTCTTCCTTTTTTTTAACCTCCGACCATCACACATCAGGGACACTTTAACATATGGATCTGAAGAAAAGTGAAATGTGGCCAGTCCAGTTAGGTTATGTCAAAATATCTAAGTATTAAATCTAAGTAAAAAATCATTTTGACACACATTAATAAAAAACAATCTTCAATCCCTTATATGCAAAATTGACAATTTCACCTCTCTGTGGAAACATTATCAGTCAGCACACACCTGAAGCTCCAGTGATGTCCATGGCTTTGAGATTTCTTGCTTTGATCATGGTGATGGTGAGCCGACCAGCCGTGGGAAGATAGCACAATGAGAACATCAGCTCTCCCAGGTCCACATTGTCCTTTAAAGAAAGATAGAATGAGATGAAACCCTGATGTAAAGTTCTGTCTTACATTTTTGAGAGAAGCTGTCATTTCTGATGCCATTATTCTTTCAGGAGTAGAGAATCATGAGAGGAGTATTACCCTCTCAAAGCATCGGATCATTTTATTAATTTACCGTTTAATAAAATCTGGATGTTTCAAAGATTTCCTATGTTCAGAAGGTTGATCTCCAAAAAAGTCAGCAAACACACGGATCATTTATTCAGGTGCTGAGTCATCAAAAAAACACACTTAATATGATGCACAAAGACTGGCAACACCATGGCTCCCAAATATATACTTATTTATTTGCAATATGCACACCTGGTGAAACATTGTGTTCTTTAATGCATAAAGCAAATAAATATGTAATGACAAACGTTTTTAGATTTTTGCCTCAAACGAATGATACACTATTTAGCGTATACTTTTCAGAGTTGTGCAAGCTCCCATTTTTCCTACTACTCTAGTGGATCTAGCATTATTTTTTGCTTACTTTTTTTTCTCCAGCAAGAATATCAGTGCTTTCACATCTTGTCTAATGTACACATGTCAACCTCCTTCCCCAATTAACACATCTGAAAATAATGTGTGATGCTGTGATTGTGTTTATGAGACACAAGCACTCACAAGATTTTCTTACAGGGAAAACTCAAATTTCTGGTTTTCATTGACTTCTGCATACCAGGCGGATTGTTTCCATAAATGAAATCAAAAACTCTCCTATGCTACAAATAATTCAGCTGCTGTATGTTTCAACAGACAAATATGTGAAACAAGATATAAAAAAAGTTGGATGTGTCTTCATGAATTCTCTTCAGTGAGTGATTTAAACAGGTTAATGTGTTATTAGTATATCGTAACATGATGAGTCTTCACCTGAACACACACACACACACACACACACACACACATACAGACACACACACACACACACACATACAGACACACACACATACAGACACACACAGACACACACGCACACAGACACACACACACACACGCACACACACACACACACACACACACACACACACACACACATACAGACACACACACATACAGACACACACAGACACACACGCACACAGACACACACACACACACACACGCACGCACGCACGCACACACACACACACACACACACACACACACACACACACACACACACACACACACACACACACACTCACACTCACACTCACACACACACACACACTGGTTTTGGTTGGTTGACTACAGTCCTGTTTTCTTTTGTCTCAAAAAAGCAAGGCCCCACATTGTCCCCAACCACACCAGATTTCCAAACCATCACACACACCTATAGGTGCTAAGAGGGGCACAAACACATTTACTAGTGCTGAGGTGTTGTTAAATTCTTTTTTTTAAATTGTAAGTTCTAGAGTCTAATTTCTTATTCAATAGTTATTGAAAAAAATAATATTAACTTAGGAATTAAAAAATCATACTTGAACTCAAAAACGTAATGCACAGCTTATCTGATTTGACAAAAAAATCAAGTTCATATCCTGTCAGCAAGAGGGCAAGCAGGATAACGCAACATTGGCAAATTGGCCTTTTTAACAAGGATAATGATGTACGTTGAGATGAGTCTGCATAAATTAGAGACAAACAGCTCAAACTGCCTGTCATTATTAAGTCAGGAAGGAACATTTGGCTTAAAAACTCTCCCAGGTGTACTGCAAAGAAATCAAGCACCTGCTTTCCCCTTATATGAGGTCATACAAATGTGCATTTAAAGACTTGTACAAACTAATATACATATTGCTGACCTACCAGGTCGAATAACTAACAGTACTCTTTTCGATGCTGTAGTTGTAAAGATACTTGTAAACAGCGCCTTGGGAACCCTTAAACAATTAACTTCATAGTGTTGGCTCTAAAAATGTACAGCTAAAGGACCCTGCACTAATAACCACATAAAGAAACACATTGTTTTTAGATGGAGAAGTGTCACTTTAATCTGTTGTCTGTTATTAAATGTTTGCGTTTGAGGGTTGAGGCATACATTCTGACTCCATATAGATACTGTATATCTATTGGATGCTCTTATTGGTCATTGGAATACTGATTATTAATACATTGATCTTATTGTTACTGGTGGTTTGAGTTTGTGTGATCAATGTAAGGATCAGATGTGAATAGACCTTTGTCTGTTGCATGCTGCTATGTCCCCTGTTCGTGGCAACAAACCCTAACCCTAACCCTAACCCTGCACAAAAAGAAACTTTATTAATCCCTGAACAGAACTTCAGGTTTTCTCTCTCTGTAAAGAACATTCTACATACACATAGGGAGGAACACCTACATATTGACCCTCTGGTTCCCAACCCAACGGACTGAGCTATAGCTGCCCCTTTAGGGATGGGCTTTTATAACCAGACCTGGGTACCCTACATAAAAATCCCTTAAGCTGAAAAGCTCACCTTGTGTGTAGCAGCATGACAATAAGAGTAATGAGTTGATTCATTATAGTGGCTACTTTAGACAGGTGCCACTACTTCACCAGTTTGACTCTGAGCCCGCCCTGTATATTTATGATGTTGATTCATAAAAAAGGATCAGTTAACCTTTCAGCTCTTCAGAAATATTAAGATATCATCTCACACATACACTCATGCAGTACACTAACGATTTTAGACTCTATAGTGCCAGTCAACACTCTCATAAGCACTCAAATCAAGCCTGCGGTCAGGATTATGGTCACTTGTGCTCAGCCAATGAAATTACACTGGTGCTCTTAAGTGCCCCTATAAAGCCAGTGTGAGTTAGTATGGACAGTCCATCTTCTCCACCTTCTCTCCCTCAGGAGCAGCAAGGCTTTATCTATAACCCTTTTTGCGTTTTCCTTTCTTTCTCAATAACTTTTTTACCCTTTTGAAGCTGTGTGTGTGTGTGTGTGTGTGTGTGTGTGTTTGTCAACATGTTTTACTGTAAAATTAAGCAATACCTAAAACATAGGCTATTAATGAGTGACACTTTGATCCCCTTTGTGTCATTCCCTATAAACTCAGGGTTATGTTTCATGCTGTGAGGAAGGTAAGCTCAGCTCATCTGTTTCATTAAATAATCACACACTGAAGTCAAGACGCTATGAAAATGTTAAAGATAATGTGTTGTGTTTGGAATTACGTAAGGGATAATGCTGGATAAGGTGAAAATTCTCAGGTTTCTAGTAATGTTGAACCAGAACCATAAGACACCTAGCAAGGAGTTCATAAAACCTGATAATGGACACCTTGAAGGACATTATCCCACTTGGACACTTGCTGAAAAAAAAATACAAGACCATTACATTACATACACAACTATACATGTTTTTCTGCATTTTGTAATTAAAATGTAAAGTTTAAGGTTGTACCTCTGTGTTCCTAGCAATGGCTATGGATCTTATATAACTTATTATAACTTATTATTATATATAATTATAATCTTGCCTTACACACAGAACTATCACACAATGAATAGCAAAGTGTAGCAAAGATGGTCTTTTAGGTGATTGATAGTATCAATAAGAGCGGAGCCGCAGTGAATGTTTGAAGCTTTTGTGATACTAATGAGATTCTGAGGTATTCAGAGGAGTAGCTGCTGAAGGACTGCTTCAGTGTTGTACAATAGAAACTTTGAAGACTGTTCTTGATGTTGTAATTAGATGTTAGTTACATACATTTTTATCAGGGCCTTTGACTGAATCCCTGTTAACAACTTATAATTCAACAATTTACTCATTTTAAACACCACTGCATTCATATAGAATGTCGACAAAGGTATCAAGTCTTTTCTAGCCTTCTGACTACTCAAAGTGTTTTTACACCGCATGTCAGACCTACACATACACACACTGATGGTAGAGGTTGTTATGTAAAGTGACCATCAGAATTAACTCATCCATATTCCACCAGCAGAGGTTAAGGAGACTGCAGGAGCTGGGAGTCAAATCGTCAACCTTCTGGTTGAGAGATGACAACTCTACCAACTGAGCCACAGCCGCCCCTACATTAAACAAAGTCTTTCCTATCTTTGTTCTGCATGTTTTTGTTTGAAAATAGTTAAAGGCTGTCTCATATTGACACCTGTCCCAAACAAAGTTAAAACAACTTCATAGACTGAAGTAAATAAAAGCTGGGCTATTCATTGAAATGTGACGGTACTTTAAATGTCCCTGAAGTCAGTGCAGTGCTCTACAACATTATTCACTGGTTCTCATTTTTGATAAGAGACACCTCAGGTGTTTGCATCCTCTCATTGTTGAAACAAAGCTCAATTTAAGTAAGTGAAAAACCACAAACCGACAATTTTTGAAAATAAAAAAGTACAGGCTAGTACGCTTGCTTTACCCACAGAACATCTGATCATCAGACTTATTCATTTAAACTCACTGAATAAATCAGAATCAATGCAGATTTCACAAAAGGATATTATTCATGTTTTAACTTGACTGCAGGATAACAACTAAACACGCATAGAGTTTGTTCAGCTCACTTTAAGATTGGAGATCTTGTTACACAAAGGCCAATGAACAGTTCAGTGTATCTAGCTGACTGAACATGGTGAAAGTAAATAAATCACTGCCAAGGCTCAACTCTATGACTGAATTTATCCTGACAGAATCAGGTTATATAGGCTCAAGAATCCTTCATTACTCTGAGTAAACAATAGTGACAGATAAAAGTTACCAAGAAGTTTCAAGAACAACAGTATTGTTATAAGGGTTTGTTACCAAATAAACTTTATATCGTTAATAAACTGCTTTTTCATGATCCACTACCGTCTCAGTTAACAATAATGACAAAGACAATCAGATTTCCCTGTAAGGGAAAGTGCTTGTTATATGGTACCACTTGTCATTAATAAGAAAAGGGTAACTCTTTTAGTGAATCACACACACACACACACACACACACACACACACACACACACACACACACACACGCACACACTCACTCGCACACACACA